ATTGGCATTCATTTCTTCAAGGGCTGATAAACAGAGGCATTGGGATCGAGTCCAGAAGGGCTGGTCTCCACAAATTTGGAAGAGTAATGTGGGGAAACAGGACTCAGAGTGCTGGTGGCTGCAGTGTATGTTATGCTGGGCATTACTGCCATGACTTCTGCAATCTTCTGTTTTAGGTCCTTGATTTCCTGATCTTTTTGAATGATTTGCCCTGAAAACAGCAAAGTGACAGCACTTTAGAACCAGCAGGGTTTGTCACACCCCCCCCTCCCTCCACCAGCGAAAGGCTGAGCTGGTGAAGTGCAACACTCCCAAGGCATCCAGTTCTTTATCCTTACAACCTGTGTAACTCCTGGTCGTGCTGAGGAGCTGTGTTTAATTAATTACCCCTAATTAGCCCACACCATAACTAAACACAGCTCTTCCACGATAATCTCGCGCTGTTTGCTCTCACAGCTGCGCCACATCCAGAGATTGTTTCTATGGCTCAACGACTTCCTGCACTTTTCCATTCCACATTTTCCAAAGTCCTCACAAAAGCACGAGTATTTGCTTATTGGACCTGTTGTTTATTTTCAAAACTGTCCCGATTCCCGTCATTTTTCTAACCCCACTTCTGTGCACGCTCACAACCATCACTGCAGCAATTTAGGAAACCAGGGAAAGAAAGAATAACACCGGGGAGATGAAACAAAACAATTTCTCACCCTAATCAAATTTTCTCCTGCAGTCAAACAAACTTCTGCAGGGAAATTAAACGGGTGTTAAATCCAAAGGTTATTTAATTTTGCTCCGAGGTTTGCCCAGCTGCTCAAAGGCCGGGCTGGGCAGGGCTTTTTCTGCTGGTTTCCTGCTCCCCCTGGTGGCATCACCACGTTTGAAACTGGTTGGGTGGTGTTATCTCCCCTCCAATTTAGGTTTTATTTACTTCACGAGTCATAAAATATTATTATTATTATTAGGATTCAAAAAGACAACACCTTAATAGATGGCAGCTATTATTTCAGCTCTTAAAAGAGAGAGCTCTTCTAGCTCTTTAAAAGATCTCCAGCTTTATAAAACATGTAGAAAACAATCATAAATTAACCCAAAACACCCATCTTGATGTTTATTGTCAGTTTGGTAGCTGGGGGGGGGTGGGAAAGGAGGTCGGATGGTTTAGGCTCACACTCACCCTCAGTAGGGGCCATATCCCACCCACCTGGACACATTTCCACGCTTTTCCCCCCCCCCCCCCAGGATTTAACCCTCCACTGTTACCTTGGGCAATCTCCAGCTGCCTTTTTGCATCTCCTAACGCAGAGAACAGATCCAGCTTGATCCTGGTCTCTGCACTCAGGCTGTTCTCTAAGTGCTGTGTTTTATCCTGCATGGCTGAAAGTGCTGACATTAACACCTCCGTATCCTTCTCGTTTTCCTTGTACTTCCGCAGCTCCTGCAGGAATAATTAGGACAAATGTTATCCTCCTTGCCTTTACACAGGAGAGAGAGCCTGAGAAGCCTTCTGCCTTCCCCACAGTGGGCCTGGTATTACCACTGTAAAATTAAAACGCTGGTTAATTAAGGACACTGTAATATTACCTCCAGTAATTACACGCGGCCATCAAACAAGTGATTAAAGCCGTAACGAACGAGGCATAATTACAGTGCAGTCAGCACCATTTACTCTGTGCCTCAGCCCCTCCATCATTCACAGCAAGACCCTCCACCCAAAACCCCAAAAAAATCGCTTCCAAGTGCCAGCTGAGCCTGCCACACAGCCAAGGGATGTGGGATGTGGGAACACTTCCCACGAGCGAAACGGCTGGAATCACAGACTCAGAAATTCAACAACATCCAGCCCAGCTGTCAGCCCAGCACCACCACGTTCACCGTGAAACCATGTCCCCAAGTGCCACTTCCACGTGGTTTTCGAGCACTTCCAGGGATGGTGACTCGACTACACATGGAAATTATCTGTGCTTTTCAATGAAGAAACGACAACGCAAAGGGGAAAACATTAATGCCTGCAACAAAAAGCTTCTCTGACAGTTTGGAGGTGCCAATAAGATTTAAGAGCTTAATTACGGCTGGTTTTAATTGTTTGAAAGCCACGCTGCTCGTCCTCTCCACAGATAAACCACCCTTGTTCTCCAGGGTTTGGTAAACCCGGGAACAACAAGGCTGCATGTGTCGTTTGGAAACAAGCTGACAATAACACCAGGTGGGTTTGGAAGAGACGTTAAAAATACATATTCATGCAGATTGTCAGTTGACAGTCCGAGCACATCTTTAGGGACAGACATTTGAAAGGAATAAGGTCAACTCCAACTCGCACATTGGAGCTGTTACTCTGTTAACATGCCAGACACCGTCTCTGCTGCGTGTCTGCCACAAAGTATTTTCAATATTGAAGCACTTTTCTCCCCCAAATAAAAAAAAAAAAAACAACCTGGCCAGTGCTTCAGACTGCACTGAGTAAGCAACCTGTGTGAATTATATAACCATATATAAATAAAGTGGTGGCGAATTACATAAATCACGTGAGTGAAACAGATTTGTCCCAGTAAAGTTGTGAATGTCTAATGACGGAGATCGGCATCAAGCTCCTTGCATCAGGTAAAAAAAAATGTTGTTGAGGGGGATTATATCCTCAGTCTACACACACCAGTGGGTTTGGGGAGGAAAACTGTCATTTAACCAACTGAATGGTGTGGAGCTGAGACGATTAACCCACTGTCTGATAAACCCTGGTGCAGACAAACATCTGAACAGCACAATTACTGACGATGGAGATTGCCACTCGTGGAGATCCTTGGATTTTTTTGGAGGGCTGAAAGCTCTTCCCTGTGATGCTGATCTGAGGCCCCTGGTGCTTTGTGATTACCTGAACTTTCATTTCTAGCTCTCGTATCTGATCTTCTTTCAGCTTTATGTCAATTGTTAACTTCTTGCACTCTGTCTCCAGCTCCCGGATACGATTCCGTAGAGTTTCAGTGCACTCTCCCCTGCAGGAAAAAAAGAGGAGAAGATGAAATAAGAACAAGGCTGTAATTCCTCCACTGTTTATACCGTGAAAATGAATATAAAAATTGAAGGATTAAAAAAGAGGAAGCTAACTTTGTTCTCTGCAGCAAAGTGGTTTCCCCTCATGGCAGCAGAGCAGAGGGTTATACACCAGGTATTAGGAAATTTGGAATATTTATGAAATAGGGAGAACAGAAGAGAAGAAGTAATTCTTTTTAGACACTTAGAGCACCCACACTTGTGCTGTGCTCCCATCTCTGCACCTGGGGGACTGCTGAAAATCCCAGGGCTCAGCACTGGCAGCCAGAGCAGGGAAATTCCACAGTGGGGGATCTAAACTTGGTATTTTGGCCAATGCCACTGCACAAATCCTCGACTCACAGTCCCCACGTGGAAGGAGATGTTCCTTTTCTCAAAGCAGACTTGACCCAAGCAGGTACAACATCTCTGTCAGCAGATAATTCAGAGCATCGTGTTCTAAATATGCTCTTTGGAGCTTTCTCACCCATGTAGTTCATATTACATGGGCAAATGTAATATATTTATATTTATTAATATATTTATATATATGAGCACTGAGGCTCAGAGATCTCCCAGTCCTCCCTCTGCCTTAACACAAATAAAGCCTGATTTTTTTTTTTTTTTAAAAAAGCATAAAATAAACTACTCCTTTAGGTGCACAAGAGTGAGAAAGGCCTCCCCAAAGCACCTCGTGGCAGCAGCAAAGGCCACAGCACGTGCAGCGGTTGCTTCTTCCAGCTTCTTCCTCTTCTTCTCTTCCATTAATTGCTTTTCTACAAAGGTTCGTGCCTCCTGCTCTGCCTTTAGTTTCTTCTCCAACTGGCTGATCATCTGTTTGTCCTTTTGTTTCATTTGTACAGCGTTGTGCAATCTGGAAGGGAGCAGGGATGGGGTTCAATGGGGGATTGCATTTACTGCAAATGAATTGGTCAGGGGTCCCAAATGGGCCTTGGTGGATTTGCAGGCCTCGAATTTGGTAAATAATAATAATAACAGCTAAGCAGTAATTAAATATAAATATTGAATATGCAAATATAGACAATATAGAACACAATAATTACATGTTATACAATATAAACATATAGAAAATATAATTGTTAGAGAAAAACATTAAATATAAATAATACAAATAATGATAATAGCCAAAGAATTAAATATAAATACGGGACAAATATAAAAATTTAAATATTTAATAAATAGATGATGGATATACAATACCTAATATATAAGTAGATGTAATGATGATATAAATATAAAATAAACTATAAATTACATAAATTACTACTACATCCCTATTATTAATATTAATAACACCAGCATGTATTTTTATTAATATTTATATTGATAATTATAGTGGTTATGATAATAATAACAATTATTATAATTTCTTCCCCCTTTCAAGACCTGGGTCATTATTACGATGATAATGATTATGATGATGATTATTCCCCTTTTCCCAGGCCCCCCCAGGTGCCTCCACACGTACTTGTTCTGCAGGAGCTCGTTTTCCTGCCGGAGCTGCCCCATTTCCGAGCGGATCCCCCGCTCTGTGTTGGTCAGGGAACTGATCTGACTGCGCAGCTCCTGCTCGATCTGCCTGCTGGCCTGCAGGTCAGCCTTTAGCTTCTTAATGTCCTGTTCCAACCTAAGGAAAAAAAAAAAAAAAGAAAAAGAGAGATTTTAAAATAAGACAATTTCCGCTTTTATTTCCGCTCGCCCGACGGTTCAAGCGCGTTACGTAAAACTCCACACCATCTGCCACCCGTCCCCCCCCCACCCCAAACCTTCAGACTTCAAACAATCAGCGCTCAGAAACGATGTGCACCCTTGCTAAAGAATTGGGTTTTATGTAACCACACATATATTTAGCTCCATGTGTACACACACACCTCAGAACCTCCCACAGCAATTTGCTTTCCCCTCCAGGCGCTGTTTGTAAAACAAACCCCATGGGATTCGATTTTCTCTCAGGTCTGGGGGAAGTTCTAATCGAGGACAGAGCCACAGATGGACAAATTTCACTTCTCTCCACAAATTCTGAGTCTCATTTATTAGCTATCAGAGCTGAGCTCTGGGCCATACTGCTGAATTCTCACCTAAACATGTTGGTATTTTCTTGCAGCACATGATGTGAATGTTGAATAATGAGAACGTGGTAAGTCATCCACAGTTCAGGAGTCAGTAAATTTAGTTTTAATTGCTCCTGAGCAGAGACCATCTGCTATCCACTCGAATTGCAGCTTTGGAAAGTTCTTGAAGATTCATGTAATCTCGTTAATTAAAGTATTTCCAACAAAAAAAACTGGTTAAATAAAACACACAATTCAGAGGAGAGGCACTCAGCTCACTTTAATTTCCCTCTACGTTTTCAAAATAAGGTTATTGATTTTTTAGAATAAAAAACACATCACAGGTGACTAATCAACCTTTTTTTAACTGTGTTATGTACTTATTTAAAGCAAATACACCTCTCACATAACCCTCATTTGCTCTGCCAGGTATTGATTTGAAAGTTTTTAAATGTTCATAAAGAAGACAGTGATGGTTTAATTTCCTAGGACTGCACAGAATTAGTGGCAGTTGAACATTAACACTCGAGGAGAATATTCACAGAAGCCAGAAAGAACTGCCCTTATTGACACTCAGTAGTACAGATAAATGGTTACAGCTTTTTAACTTCCTTTTGGGCTTCCCTGCAGGAAAACCTCAGCCTAAAAGGCTGCTGAGAGATGGAACAGCACGAGGCACGAGAACATCCTGCGCCAGTGAATCCAGAGTTCAAGTGTGGAATCATCAAAGTTATGGAAATGCATAAAAAGGATGTCTGTAATGGGCTAAAACTGCACCAAAGAGGTAAATTAACAGCAAGGAACAGCCTATAAAGGAACGTGGCTGGCCTGTAACACATTTGAATAACTCAGATGCTCAGAACTGCCCTCCTGGTAAGACCAACTCCTTTTAGTGTAGCACAAACCATGATCAAATGCACCCTCAAAAACAAATTAAAAAAAAATAAAAATAATAAAAAAAAATCAACTCATACTTGTAGGCAAATAGTAATAGCACAAAGCAAACACACATTTCAAATGCAAGTCCGAAAATAATTCCAACACCTCGGACTGTGCTGCTGAAAGGAAAGAATTTGCAAACCCAACCAAATATTCCTTCAGCCACACAACCCAAAAATGCCAGCAGGTGTTGTAGGTGTTATCAGGCGTGTGTTGTCACCTTGTTCAGGGTGTTGGGTGAGAGATTGGACAGTGGTTGGGCAAAGCTATGAGAGTTCAACTTCATCTTCCAGTAAGCAGCAGCTCAGTGTGTCAGAAAGAGCAAACTTCTTAATTAAAGAGAGGAGTAATTAAAGGAGATGTAAGAACCACTCACAGACTGTTGTGTGCCAACAGCTGATTGGTTTTAATACAGGTTTTCATAAATAGGTGAAAAAATGGCTGGCAGGACAATGCAAAGGAAAGGAAATAAATCCCATTTTCCACTGACAAGTACCCATACATAATTTCAATATCCATGTCTACAATAAAGTGATAACTGAAAATAAGACAGCTGTAAACAGCCTTTTCCCTGTGGCTCAGACTATGTCAAACTCGCTCAAATAAGACAAACCAGGATTTATTTTGGGTATTTAGTATTCCAGGAAAAGAAGCCCCGATCAGATAAAGCCTGAATAAATCAGAGGTGCTGGCACAGGACGGGCTGAATTTGTATTTTTGGCAACAGAGCACTGACATTGGTTCAAGTTTCTGAAGCCATCTGGTTGGTGGCATTCCTGCACCTGAGTGCTCATGGGGCTGCTCCAGACTGTGCTGGAAGAAACCTGCAGGATGCATGGAGTGCATTCCAGTGGGAGCAGACAGGACGCCAGCTTTCCAAACCAGGGGGAAACAGGTGAGGCCGCAAAGCCACAGCTTCCCTTCTCACTCAGCACGGCTTGCAGGGGCCAACCAGGGCCGTGGATATTAAATTAGTGAGGCTCAGGCTCGGGGAGGGGTTGCACCTTCAGGAGAAATCAGATAACAAATCTTTTCCGAGTCGGCGCCAGACAAAACCATTGGAAATCGGTCTATCGACGGCCTTGTTTGGAAAGAAGCTTTAAAGAAAAGATTTCAGCAGGTTTTAATTACCCCTTCTCATCATGCTGTAGGTTTTGCTACAGCTTTAAATACCAGAGCAGACGTTTTCTGCAAATTATGGAGCAAATGAATGCTCCTCACTACCTAAGAGGAGGGAGGAAGATCATAATCCATCATAATCCATCATAATGCAGGGACCAAATGTTTCCTACGTGGTGTCTCTCCCAGCCCTGCCACAATTAGATGGAGATACAACTTCATTAAAAAAAGGCATGAATTTAGTTTCCCCTCAAAACCACATGGACTACTTTCATCCTCCATCAGGCCACTCACCAGTAAGAGAGGATATTTTCTCTAAAATAAAAGCACATCATCAAGGTAAACCAATGCAATGCCATAAAAGAAAGTTTTGCTGCTGCCAGCACAGCCCAGTGCATGGAGTTTTCTCTCCTCCCCTCTGGTATAGTCTGTACTGCTGTTGCAATGATAAATGACCCCATAAACCAGCATTTTTCAAATTACTGTTATTCTTACTGTGATTTCATTTTCTGCTTACGCCTCCCATTTCCAGGCTTATTGGAAAAAGTTATTTACAAAGGAGGGGGGAGTAAAGAATACCTGAGTTCTAGAAGATGCTTCTCTCTATTGCTGCACACACTACAAGTCATTCTGAGACAGAAACATTTTTAAAATGAGGGTTATTTGGTTGCAGATTATGATGTTGTGCTGTTTATACAACCAAGGTCCATTCTTTTCAGTTTGTCACTACTCTAAATGCAGATTTATCCATTTTCTTCTCTCAGCACGACCTCATACCGTTCCTAATCTCGCTGATGAAGAGAATTAATCAGGAATCACCTCACAGACCAAGTATTTTTCCAAATGCTTCAGGGAAGATTGATGGATCAACTTAAAGACAACTCAATTCAGCTTAATGCTCCTAAGTATTGATGTCTGGAGAATAATACACCTTTGTGGCTCAGTTTACTCACCCAGTTAACTCCATCCCACAACCACCTGGCAACGGTTCAGGAATTAAACACAATTTATACCAAAATTAAAATTTTAAAAGACCCAGGAGGCGCTCAGATGCTTTTCCAAAGCCACATTTTTTTTCCCCCCCTTTGTTCTGTTCCTGCTCCTTTGAAGTGGTCAGTGTGATCCTGCAGTGCTGAGGTTCTGCTTGGAATGAACACGCTGGTACTTGCAGCTCCTCAGAGCATTTTTCATTACCAAAAGAAAAAAAAAAAAAAAAAAAAAAGACAGTAATTCACAGAGAGAAAGCCAAGATATTTCTTTTTCTCCTGCACAGCATCGATCTAAGCAGCTGGCATTTCAAAAGGTTATTCTGCTTCGGAACAGTCCAAGCAACCGCGTTGACGGTGGCTTGAAAATGGTCTGGAAGAAGGATTGTCTCCCAGATTTCTA